CATTGACCTCGCATCCCTACAAAGCCGGGACGGAGCACGCCGGGTTCTCACCGGACCAGGCTCTCACATCACCAAGCGCGAAGCGCCGTGAGATATTCGGCGAGTCGCATGAAGGGTGCGCTGCATCCTGCTAAGGGTTTTCGGCATCTTGTGCTTACTTCCTTGCGTACGGATATCAGCTGCGTATGACTCAATTGATTTTCTGGTGCTTTCACTTCCACAGACAGTTGTAAGCACTGTGTAACTGCCTCGAGGGTGCTCGGCCATTTTAACACAACGTGGTGCGATCATCCGCNGGGGGGGGGGGGGGGGGGGGGGGGGGGGGGGGGGGGGGGGGGGGGGGGGGGGGGGGCGAGAACGAGGGAGGCGTTCTTTGTGGAATTTTGTTTTTTACCGAAAACCGATAGTTTGATTGCTTGTTTCTTATCGCGATGCGGTTGGTCTGCACCGCGCCGGCTGCAGATCGAGAGGGTCCCGCAGAAAGGAATACCTTCAAGCAACGGATACGTGGGTGTCTTGAGCAAAGCAAAATCCACGTTGTCCCGTCGGAGGCGCAAGGGGTAAAAAAGAAGGACTATTTGATATCCTATGTACTGTCCGATTCGCTCTTCTGCCCGGCAATTGCCCACAGTTCTCGTTCTCAATAATCTGCCGAAGAAGGCTCGTTTTGGCTACTTCATGATATGACACCCTTGTGCGCCGTATTGACCTACTGCGCCGCCGCTCCCGCTCCCGCCGCCCTCGTTCTTCTCCGCGAAAACTGTTCTTGGTTTATGTAGACTGCAGTGGAAGTACCTTCCCGTGGTGACGTGGGTACGCGAAACGAAGCAACATTCCCGCCGCCTCGAGAAAGTTATTCAGGTGACTTAGAAAATTGTGCTGCTCACATCACTCCACTTTGCTGACGTCAATACCCTATTGCTGGCAGAACTAAGTACGTCACGCCCGGCGAGACCTCGCGTGTGCACGAAGGACTTGTTTTCACCTAGCGCGTGTTGTGTTGATTTCGCTTATTGTTTCCCTGGTGCGCTGGCGCGTTGTCGATTTTTGGTGCACCCTAGTGGTTTGTTGTGCTATGTGCGCTATTTTCTGTTGTGTGTCAGTCTGTAGTGTTATGTTTGTTTTTTCGTTTCTGCGAAACCCGCGTTGGCATGAGGTTACGCTTGTCTCCTTTGGAGTCTTTCGTTTGTCACTCTGGGCCTCTTTCATGGTCACAGCATTGGAATATTGTGTTCGATACCGGTGTGACGTGTGTCTATTTTTCTACCTGTTGTTCCGCTACGGCCGCTGCTGCTTGTGCTGCTGCCAAAAGGGTGCCGTCAATGCGGTGAGAGCGGACGCTAAACTAGCCGACGCCAGCCTAGGCGACTCGGCTGCCGAGGGCGATGTCGGCATCGGCGGAACTTTGCTTCGGAAAATCGTGAGCCCCTTCCCTTGTTGTAGTGCGATGGTTGGCACAACGCGCCGCCTGTTGTAAGGTCCAAGCGTGGGACTTTGACTGCTGTGCGTCCGCGCAACTCTTTCCTCGCAACTCTTTCGCTCCGTTTCTTCCGAAATACAACTGTGCCTCGGGTCCTGGCCCTGCAACACAACTCGTTTCTGTGACAACAGCGCTATATTATCGAATCTGCGGCACGTTCGGTTCAATCACAAGGGCGCCGTGATGGGCGGGCTCAAGCCTAGCCGCGTAGTGTCGGCTACCAAGCTGTGGCGAGATTAGAGACAGAACGACTCAAAGAATAAGGGAACTGACCGGTAAAGGATAATTGTGTGGGTGGGATAGTCATGTGAATTTGGAGACCGGTTTAGCGCCCGTTGTCGATTCTGCCGCCCCGTGCTTATTCCAAAACCATCATGATATCCCCCAAACGTATATACTCCAAAGGCACATATCTCCTAACCACCCCTGTACGTAGAGGTCTGTGTCTGCAGCCTCGCCACGAGAGAGTGTCACGTACGCCTATCGGTTGCTAGCCACTAGTGTCACGTAAGCCTGTCGGTTGCTCGTACAATTAACCACCCTTCATTTTTTTTTGTTTTTTTCGCTCCTTGTTGACTCGATGACCTTATCACGTCGCTTTTTTTTGTGTGTGCGCGTGTGTCTTTCTTTGCCTGTGCACACGATGGATGATGGTCCGATGAATCGTGTGGCGCCACTCAGATCGGGGCAACGAACGGCACCGCAAGCAGCAGCGACCGCATGCTGTTTAACGAACGAGAGCTCATGCACCAGGCTAACGGGTTAGTGCCTTGAGAGGGACTGCCCCTGTTGTCCGGTCTTTCTCGCTCGCCGAACAGTGGAAGTATAGGAGAAGAGGGGGTTGCACGATGTTTTGTACTGTACGGGTTCATGTTTTGCACTGTGTGAAAACAGAGCCGCTGCTGTCTTTGACGTGCCGTATCGCGCGCGCGGTGTCTTGTGGTTGTGTCCGTCGATTGTGCCACGTGTCGAAGTACATTAAGATCGCAAAGGCGCACGTGGTGTATTGAAAAGGGGATGTTGGGAATCGCAGCATACGACTTCTTACTACGCGGTCGGCAATGTTTCACAGACGTGACGGGCACCTCGTCATTTTTTTCTTCCCGTACGGAAGGATCTGGACTCGGCTTGACTTGTCGCCTATTGACGATTCGGAGTGAAGACCTCATGACCATCTTCATGCGAATGCCCTCCTCTAGCTCGTGCTCCTTTGGTTTGCAACAATCAAACATGCGTTGTCCAGAAACCGCAAATGCTCTCCAAAAACTTTTGCAGGTCTTGACACAGTCAAAGCGCTGTTACTGCTGTAGTCCTCCTTACCTTGTCAACAACACCATTATCCCTCCCGTCTTCCTATCGATCCATCGCCACACCATGAAGCCGAACTCGAAAGACTTGAAAGACATTTCTACCGTCCTTTTTTGTTCGCTGTTTCGTCACCCACGGTGGGTATTCTTTGTTAATTGAATTAATTCATTTGCAGACCTGCAAGAATTGGGAATATTTCCTGCAAATTTAATTCATTCTTAAATGCTTCTTGACAAATTGTAATGTTGCCCTTGAACAATGATTCGATTGACTGCTCTGCGGCTGCATCGTCAGGCTGTTCGTGGCTGCGACCGAGACAACAGCGCTTACCCTGTGCTGGTGCATGTACTATCTCACCAAGAATCCGAAGGCGGCTCTGCGTTGCCGCGCCGAGGCTCTCAAAGTGGCGCCGGAAAGGTGAGAACAGTCTTCTTGCTCTGTACCATCATGTTTTTCGTGCGTTTGGCGCAGGTTTCTGTTGTCGCCGTTGTTGTTGTTGTTGCAGCCGTTGTTGTTGTCTGCCGCCCCCTCCTCCTGCGGCGATAACAATTCCATTTGAACGAGTCGCCGACGCCATCTTGCCGAAAGGCTTCACCTCCTCCATGTTCACCTAGTGTCCGGCTTGCTATCTCCATTGCTGCCGCTGTCGATTTATTCTGTCATACAACCTATCCTGCACGAGTGAGCAACTGCCCCTAAGCGCTCGCACCAGCCTCGTATTCTCAATAAATGCCGATGACCAACGCCAAACAGCGCTCCTAACGTCGGCGCCATCCGCTTGTCGTCACTCGTATCATCACATGCCCATGCTCTGGTCGGTTAAGTCACCTCCAACTGTAGCGCAAGTGTTGCCCCCCCCCCCCTTTTTTTTTGAACCACCTTCGGCGAACTAGGAAATTAACGATTGGCCATCGGTGGTCGGTCCTGCGGGAACAATGCTCTCGAGGACGCGTGGTCAATGATCTAACCGCTAAGGCATGCAAAACATGAGTACCCCCCCCCCAACCCGCGCGCGTTTTGAGCGACCTTCTTTGGTAAAGTAGGACGGCATGGTTAGCCGTCGGTGATCGGTCCTGTGGGAACAACGCTCTCGAGGACGCGTGGTCAATGGTTTAACTTGCAAAATACGAGTACGCGCCCCAGCCCCCCCATCCCCCCAAGTGACTTGACTAATGTGAGCAAGAAAAATTCCCCTGCCTTCGTTTCCGGGCAGCGGATTAACTGCCTGTTCGTCGTTGCCGATTGGTGTGGGTTGTTGTTGTGGTTGAAAGCGATGGGATGGTGTCCACGGCAGAGCAGCTAAAGAGGCTCCGTTTCTGCGCCGCGGTGTTCAAGGAAGCGCTGCGCCTGAGGACGCCGGCACCCCGCTTGTCCTTCACCTGCATGGTGAGGGAAGGGATATCGCGTTCAGAGGTTACGTAGGTAGCCGTCTTTCAGAAACGTGAGATATAATAATAATGCGCATGTGCCGGTCCGTGCTTGAAACCGCACGGTGAGGATGTCAAGAGCTGTGTGCTTGGCAACTCCTCAGAAGCGCTATGCGAAAAGGCAGTAAAAGCCCATCGATATTCCGCGAAGCTGGGAGAAGACCAGTAGTATGAGGTATTGCTGGTGGAGTCGTGAAAGACTTGACTGCGTTACCTGCTGCAGTAGACCGCAACGCCAAGAGGAAGAGGCCGGTGATCCTGCCTCGCGTTGCAGCGAGCCCCAAGTGGCGTCAATTGGCGGTATCTTATCTATCTACCGGTATCTACACAGAAGTCACGCTGTTGAGTTGCTGTTCTCGTCCCTCTGTACGCTGGTTTTGGTGATGTTGGGCGTTCATATCTTTCAGGCAAAGTGTCACCTTGGTTACTCTTGTCTCACCCCTCTCACTCGCTCTTCTCTTTACGGAGCTGAGAATTGTTCAGGTAAGTAGAAGTTCAAACAACGGCGGTTGCCTGCCGGGATCACGTCTCCTCGGTAAAAACCTCTGTTGAATGATCAACGGAATCGAGTCCCTCCCGCCTAATATTTACAGTTTCTGGCTCCTTTGGTTGCGATGCTGATGGCCCTTTCAGGAGGACTTCACGATGAAGAGCGGACGGGTGTTGAAGAAAGGGACCGCGGTCCTGACGCTCAACCGGGCGGCTGGAATCTCGGAAGACTTTTTTACGAGGGCGGACGAGTTCGTGCCGGAAAGGTATATCGCGTGTAGATGTGCATATGCGTGCATAGGCGTCCTTGGTCTAGGACGCTGGGCGGGTGAGCAAGAAGCAAAAATATTGTGACGCTGTACCAACGATTCAACTGCACAGTTCTAAATATGTGGAATTACATAAATCTGTTTTCATCTTTTGGGTTCGCTCGTTGAGGTAGGAAGATACGTACCCATAAAGTGTACCCCTTTTTGTCTTCTTTTGACGTCGCTGGTTTCCCTCTTCCACCGAAGAAATGAGGGTGAGGAGTTTGAGTGGCGGAGGTGGAAGCCCGTCACGTGTCAGTGCGACCGCAGCGGTGAAAACGAGACTGCTCTCCTTGCCACGTGCGGCCTCTTTTTTCGCTACAGGAGCGGAACGTTGTGCGGGTTGGTTGCTCGTACGAGTAATGGTTGGTTTGTGGAGTGCAGGTGCAAGACTAAGACAAAACACCGATCTCTAGCTCGCAACAGACAGACAAAATAGCAGTGGTGGTCTGAACAGCATTCTCGATCAATCCCTGATCTGTGTCTCTGCGGACTCGTCCCCTGTGCGGCCGCAACTGCTACTCATTTGTAACGTCGAAACAGGTGGATCAGATCCGAGCGCGAGAACGCGCTGTCAGAAAAGCCGAGCACGTGGATCGGGAAAGGCGGCATCGCTCACGAGGAGGAGGCGTTTTTGTCTATGGGACATGGCCCAAGAATATGCCCCGGGCAGGTGGGTAGCGGTTGTGTTTTGGGACGAGTTCGCGGGCGACTGCTGTTGGACGCTGTTCTGATTATGTTGGATCATGTGCCATGGATGTGGTGAATATACGGGAGCGTTGTGACGACAACCAACAGCTGACAAGGCCAGGATTGTTGGGAAATATGGATTGTCTATGTGGCTGACGATTGGCTCGATGGGTTTGACCGCATGACGACGACGATGATGACCCACACCAAGTAACCGCATCAACAGCGGCAACACAACAGCAGTAAATGGTCCGTCCCTCGTACTTGCGAGAAGCGACCACTACCACCACCACCACAACGGCACTTTTGGCAACAGCAATCGACGCCAGTGTGCTGTGTACCGCACGTGCTTCCCCGCTCACGATCGCGCAGGATATGGCCAAGGCAGAGGGGGCCATCATCATCGCTGCCATCTGCGCTCGCTTCGACCTCTCGCTCGCACCCGGCCAGGTACGTCGTGTTTCAAAAAAGACCACCAATTCACCCGAAACGGCATACGAACGATCACATTACCCCACCGCCCGAACGGCACAAGTCGTGGCGCATTCTACCGAAAAAGTGCGGATGAGGTCCTGAACACTCCCTTGATCGATTGTCAAAAGCTCGATTACTCAATAACCACGAGGGTAAAAATGAGGCTATGGTAAGAAAGGGTAAGAAAACGGACCGATACACGTGCAAGGAAAGTCGTCGACGAGATGACAGTTTTTCCAAGAACCGCTTTGTTGGGCAATCGCACCCGGTTGGTCGTGGGGCAGTCGAGCCACGAACGTCGGTATGGGGCATGCGCGATGATTCGCACGTTTACGGTATCTAGCGGATGCAAGATGCTGCACCACTCCCTGTCAACAAAGTAGCAGACGCGGGATCCCCCAACTAAACATGTTGACGATTACCCCCACCCCACCCCTGCCCTGATGTACACACCCACCCACCCCTGCCCTGAAACACGCGCTTGGCGGACAGGCGGACCCCCCAGAGGAGTTTACTTCCTTCACATGCGGCCCTAAGGAGTTCGACATGATATTGACCAGGGCGGCGAAGGAAGAGTGACGGTTTCGTTGTTTTTTTTGTTTCGTGGCTTTGAAGAAGCAGGTTGGTTGGCCTGACCTGACCCGAGCCGCCCGCCTTTTATTGATATGAGGGGAGGCACGTGTGCGCTCGTTGCGGTCTGTCTTGTGTTGGAGGAGGCCCTCCCGCGCTCGACTACTACTGTGTCGCGATCGGTTTTGTTGTTTACACTGCCATCTCTATCTGTGGGTGTGTCCGGCGCGTACACAGCGTGATGGCCTCAAAACTCAGGGAAAAAGAATAGGATTTTTGTACGACGGGGATTACCTCCGTATGCGGCACAGACAGGAGTTGTTGCGTTGTATCACAGCTGTGTTTGCTAGATACGTGGGGAGTGTGTTTGGGTGTTGGAAGCTTCGATATCTTGTTTGTTCTTCTCCTGTGCCCGCGTCCGTGTTCGTGTTACTTTTTGTGTTGTCGTGGTACGCACAGCAACTTTTTTTTATCATGGATGCTGTTCGAGCCGGGGTCTGCATGCATACATGTATGCACATCATTACGTACTTTATGGGTGTGGTGGGTAGCAGTGCGCTGGCTCCATAGGGTTGAAATGCGCTGGGATGGGATTATTCATTGATCGACAGCTGGCGGTCGTTGGTACATTTTTGTCATATCAAGAATTTTGTCAAGCCCCTGGGAGGTACATTTTTGTCGCATCAAGATTTTTGTCAAGTCCCTTGGAGTACTGTTCCATCCTAGAGTCGCGGGTGGTGCTGTGGTACATAGCTGCTTTGTAAAGGTTGTGCGTGTGCGTAGCCAGCCTCTGATCTTGTTCTGAAAAGCGCTACTGTAAGTTTGTACGTACAGTGTGGGGAGAGAAGGCGGGTGGTTTGACGTCAGCCGAGGTCCGAGGACATGATGGAGATCTCGTTTTGGGTATCAGAGTTCTGTCCTTAGCATTCATCACGGATTTTGGTAAGTAGCGACCCTTCCTTGTTTTCGTTTCATTTCGCTCACGTACTGTTTGTCGTTGGTTTTTGGGGGTGGGTCTGAAGTGAAGCGGTGATTGTTTTTTTGGTTGTTCGAAACCGAGGATGGATGAGATATGTATGCGTAGTCTACATATCATGCGTTGTGTTGGATGTAGTGTCTGCTGCTGTTTATTGCGGCGGTTTCCGGTCCGTTTTTTCTGCTGGCGAGAGTGGCTTGTTGCATGTCCACGGGAAAAGGGAGGAAAAGAGGGCAACATCACGAATCACGCAGCAGCAGCAGTGATGATGGGATGAACAAGTTGTTGAAGAATGTGTCTACTGTTGTTGTCTCTGGCACGTTTCGTAATGTAGGCAGGTGCAGTGCACGCACCCGTTGTTGCCTACAGTCATCTGCCAAGCAGCGTGGAAATAATAAAAATAAGTGATCTCAATGAGCTTTGAAAGGCTGTGGCAACTCAAGAGGAAACGCTGCTGACTTCGTTATTCAAAATTGAAATTCCGGTGTACCCCATTTGGTCTTCAGTGCTCAGATACAGCAGTTGCCTTCGTCTCAAAGACAAACCAAGGAAACAAGGTTTGAAAAGCTGTGACAAGTCAAGGACAATCTTCAGACGTCGTGTTTCAGTCAAAATTGCGGGATGACGCATTGGTCTTCAGTGCTATGCATACATTTATTGGTTTCGGCAGGTGTGTCTCGCGGTTTCGCCCTCTGTTCACTGCTGTCTTGGACCGAAATATGCCCACTCGCCCCCCTTTGCGACCACGTCTAAAACTTGGCAAGCCCGTTCGATCGACCGGCTAAAAGCGGGGTGGTGAGTTAGCCAGGCACGAGGAGAGCCCTCCGGTGCGCGGTCTTCTGTCTTCTGCAAAAGACATCCCCTCCCATTTATACTTTGAAATGGATCATGATCCACGATCTATGAACGGGTACATCTACCGTTCGTTGCCCGTGGTCCGCTCTTCTTCACTTGCCTCGCTTAAAGAAAAAGAAAGCGGCGCAATACATTCACCGCCCACACCAACACCAACACCTTTGATGAACTCTGTCTGGCGCGGGAGGAGACAAGAGAGGTAGTGCTGCTTTAGTCAGCAGCTAGGCAAGCATGGAACGACGTTCGCGAGGGGCGTCGGCGATGGAGGACTATCTCGAGAGGCCTCCCGACATCAACCTTTGGCCCAAGGCCAGGCAAGAGTGCCATCGCTGCGGGAAGAGGGTTAGGCTCTACTGCCCTGATTGTCTCCTCCTCGTGGGCATGCCGGATGGAGTGGAGACTCCAACAGAGCTACGGCTACCGCTTCAGGTGGGGTGTTTGTAAGAGCGTGTCGAATGCGATCTCAAAGCTCAGTTTTCCTTTGTGGTCTGGAGCTGCTCTGTGCGGCACATGCTCACAGAAAGAGTGCCTGACGCAGCAAGCGTTGTTCAGCCAGGATGATGTCGTTAGGGTGGATCTGATATCCGGTCCTGCGTACGACAGTCGTGTGGATAGGGTATGTGGTTCGGAGGTAGCCGAGTTCGAGTGCCGCAAGAGTACTGTTGTTTACTGCTGTTCAGTAGATTGTATAAGATACCACACCCCCTGGACCGATTTTGGAAGATTGACGACAGGATGCCAAGAATTACTTGAATATTTGAATCGTCCGTCCAGGGGGGGTGTTATCTCCCGCAACCTACGGTACGCTACCTCGCCTTTCTCGCGAATTACAGATAGTATTGCGCTGCAGCAGCTTGAGAAGCAGACCCGATGTCCGATGTCCGTTTTTGGCAGCAGCAGCAATCTTGTTTGTTCAGAAGGTACCATGCATACGCGTACAATTTTATACTTTCACGAGCTGAGTTGGACGAGCAGGATGTAGCTAATGCTCAGCTGAGAACAAGAGTCCCAGAGGTACTGCTGTATTGTAAGAGCTTGGTAACGCATGTATGTCGAAATAAAGAGGCGGAACGGGCTGGTTCCGCGTACACCTCTTGAATGGTACACACGCGCGTGAAAAAATGACAAGTACGAAGGAATCGTCCCCCCTCCACCCTGACGCCACGATTACTGAAGGCCCATAATGAGGTAAAATTATAACGCCTCAGGCTGTCTTGGTCACCCTCATGAGATTCGTGAGAGTATCTACCAGACGTCTATATGCACATCAGAAGTGCGTTTCAGGGAGAGCGAGGCTCGGATATCTTCGCAGCGTCTCGAACAAATGGGATAGGCTTGCTACACGTGCTGTCCGCGTGTGAGGCTGTCCAATAACGACAACAGAGCCTCTAACATCGCTCGCTCTACCCATGACTGTCCCTGCGGCTTCGTGTTGCGCTTCACAACCTCTACCACGCAGCCTTTTAGCCTTCACCCTGTGGCTTTGCTGCTGAAACTCCTTTTCATGTGCGCGTTTGTGTTAAAGTCTCGCGCCATCCCTCTTACCAACCTCTTGTGCACGTACCATGTATTGGTCCAAATGTCGGTGGTGGCCCCCCGGCGCTAGTCAGGTGGATGTCGTCGTGACAGCTGAGGAGAGGAGACGCTCTTCCGGCGTACACGTTGCCGTCATGGCCCCCCAGGTGACCATACGACGAACACCGTTGTCATTGTTGTTGTTGCTGCTGCTGCTGCTGCTGTTGTTGCTGTTGCTGCCTGCCACCCGAGTGACCGCGCCCAGAAGGAATGATGTAATCTGTGGCTTGACGAGCGATGACACGACTTGTGGTGGTGACTGTCGTTTTCCAGCGACTAGAGCACTATCGACCTCTGCTGGCTTCTTGTCCAGAATACGGTACGCGACTCTCCACTTAGTGTTGCACAAGGGGCAATATGCCCGTCCGTGCAGCACACGTAACAGCGTGTCTCTCCCTTGCAGTCTTTTCTTCCTCGCCTGGAAGCACAACCAGCTCTAACGTCAATCGATTCTCCTTCGATGCAGGTGTAGGCTACCTCGGCCGTTAGCTCACGACAAGAATATTTTCTGGCCTACAGCAAGGGGTTTATCTATAACCTCCGTGGTGCTATTTTTGCTCCGGACTCTTCAAACAGTCCCAACAATGGGTCAAGACTTAATTTTTCGTCGAACTCCCTCCCTCGCTCCCTGACGTAAAAATAGTCCGTTCGAGTCGTCTCCTTCGAGGGATCTGGGGACAATGGCCTGTCGAGCTGCAGCTACCGACCGGAGAGCGACTTCGTCGTGTTCCCGAGCGCGTCGTCGGTGTGTTGGTCCGAGCTATCGGAGGAAGATCTCGCGCGGGCGCGTCGGATAATCCTCATCGACAGCAGGCAAGAATGTCAGTAGAACGAATTTTGCGGCGGTTATTTTTGTCAATATGAAGAATGGACAGCATGCAAGGACGTAAAATGATAAGGGGGCTTTTCTTTTTTCATGAATAAAAGTATGAAAAGTCCTGTTTGGTGTGGAGCAGTGGTCCACCCTGTTCTGCGTAGCGTGTCAAACAATGATCATGAATATCAAACTTCAAACGTCGTATGTTTTGTTTGATATTTTCACTACTTGACGTCCTACTAGTTTGTGTGTTGTTTTGAGTACTTGACGTCCTTCTAGTTCATGTGTTGTTTTGAGTGCTTGATGTCCTCCTCGTTCATGTGTTGTTTTGAGTGCTTGATGTCCTCCTATTTAGCAAAGAGTTCGTGTCGTAAGGAAGTGATGAGCGTTGAAATCGGCTTTGAGAGTACCGATTATCGTTAGGACATAGGACGACAATACGATCGCAAGTTGGCTTTGGGATTGATGGTTTGCCCCAACGTGTTAATCTTTCGCGAAGGTGTCGTTGAAAGTTGCAGTCTGCCGGTGGCGCGAACGTGAACCATCCCTTTGCATCCTGGGTTTCGAAGTGTTGACAGAAATTGTCGAAGATTAAGATTACTACAAGTTGAGTTATTTTTTCCACTTGAAAGGTCTGAAATCACTTGTAGATCCAACCTATTGTGGTCCAAAGAAGTTCAGTACGACGTGGAAAAGAATTGTCATCAGTCGACGTAATTGGTTAGCCTAACCTTTACAGCACCGTCAATTACCTCCTCGATTGAGACTTGCATCATTCAACCCCGCCCCCTGCTAGCGGCGTCCCGACCAACCTACCTTCCCCCTACACCTCTCTTGGATTAGCGTGTTTTTGCGAGTTCCGTTACCCTTTGTGGCCTGATCTCTTTTATGAATTGATCGGGGATACAAGGCGTCCCTCCGAAGTGGGGTAAAGCGAGCACCGTGGCAGGGGGTGATGCAAGAACATGCAAAAGGCACACGCAGATAAATTATTGAGTTCATGCCGTAGTCGTTAGACCATTGACCTCGCATCCCTACAAACACGGGACGGAACACGCCGGGTTCTCACCGGACCAGGCTCTCACATCACCAAGCGCGAAGCGCCGTGAGGTATTCGGCGAGTCGCATGAAGGGTGCGCTGCATCCTGCTAAGGGTGTTCGGCATCTTGTGCTTACTTCCCTGCGTACAAATGAC